TTGGAACGGGGATGGAGAGAATATCTCACACTTTTCAAGGAGAGATTCCTGCAAATAAATAAATAATGAAGAGAGAAGAAGACCTTTGTAGCAAAATAAATTGGTATCAGAGACCATGCCTTCATCCACATTATTTTAAGGCATGAATGAGTAACTATCTGTTTGCTTTAAATATTCTGTCCATTCAATTGGATTCAAAAAAATATTCGAACTATTCAATCTAACCAAAACAAATGTTTGATGTGAGGGAACATTGTTTTAAGAAAATTAGAGCATGGGGAAAACTCATTCAACAATATACGGTGGGTACAGGTAATATATCATCTCGGTTTGTATATAGAAGTGACAATCATTCTCACTTATTAAATATTAAATTAGATAGTTTGGGATGAATCACAAAATCAAATATTTTTTTATAAAGTGTGTGTCTATTTAATGAGACTCTTAAACTACCCATTTTAAAATTTAAAAGACAAAAATGTTTGTCACCTCCATATACAAAAGATAAAAGAAAATTGTTTCATGCGGGCTAGACTGTATTTTCACATATGCGGCCTAGAAGTATAAAACATCCAACTTAAAGATGCATGCAAATATTTGGTCTATCTAAAAATAATTGAAACTAATGGTCCAAATATTTTCTTAATGAAATTATTATTTCTAGTTTTTAAAATTTATTTATTTTTCATATTCATGATCTCCATGTTAGAACTACATATCCTTTAAAATTAAGTCAAGAAAATATATCTCAATAACAGATTTATTAAGGGACCCACATTTCTACGCATGTGGGTTTGGCCCACACGCTAATCGTGTCCAAAAATAAATAGTCTCTTTGTAAATGATCTCTAATAATCGTTAACGGGGACGGTTTTGACTAATGTAGAGAATCTAAGTTACAAACGGATGACACATGTATCAACGTCTCACACAATGTAGGAACTTTCAACCTTAAAAGTGGCTTACATTCAATGTTTCAAAATTCAGACCAGTGGAGCCAATCGTTCATTGGTCATTGGATTGACAATATGGAGTGGTCTAAATTGGTGATCTTAAAAAAAATTGAAATAAATAAATTACAATAAACAATTAAATTATGAGTTTACAAGGTAGGATTATAAGGGGACATTAAGAAAATACTAGACAAGTTAAAAAAAGAAAACAAAAGATACAAAGAGAGGTAATTGACACCATACTATCCGAGAACCAGTTTGACACCAAGAAAACAAAAGATATAAAGAAGGGTAATTGAAACCATACTATCTGAGAACCAGTTTGACCCTAACCAATTCCCATCCAAATTGGTGATCCAAATCGGAAAACACTGTATTTAAAATTAGTGCTTACATCATAAGAGAGGTTAAAATATGTAAAATATTTTGAAGTGCCATGACATGTCAATCATGTAGATAGTAAAATAGGAGGTCAAAATAAGGGACAGAATATGCTTGCTGCATGGGAGAGAGAAATGCCAAAAAGGTATCGGAGTATCAATGTCCATTTACTCCCTTAAATAAATCTTATTCTAAAAATAATTGTACGACCCTAAAATTTGAGGATAAGTCACTTTACAACCTGACTGGTCCGAGTAAGAAAATTCCTGATGGCAATGCACGAGAAAAAAAAAGGGAAGATTTTCCAACCACCTATAAAAAAATGGGTGCGGTTTGTATAGAACCTACCTCTAAATAGTGTAGAGAACTATGGTTTAAATACTGGAAGTCTTTTTCATATCCTTAAAATATATTTTCACCGTTATTTATAAAGTTTAAAGTTTCAAAAACAGTGTAGATCGACAAATCTATGAAACTTTGAAAATCTTGAAAATTGACAGCCAAAAAATGTATTACAAAATACACTATTTTCAAAACTTGAAATTTATTTTTTTCTCATGCCTATGTATCTTGACGTTGATAAGGTCAATTTGAGGATATGTGGGCATCAAAACATCTTCTACTGAAATTTTTGAGGTCGGCTTTAATTTGATTGTTTAGAGCTTCGGCTCTATATAAACTTTTCTCATAAAAGAATACACTGTCATTATTTTATTTTTATTTTGAATGATACATAATCATTTTACTTGAAAGGGAAAAAGTTTATATAAGGTTGCAACTTAAAATGTATAGAATCACAAATGTACATAAAAAATCCATCGGTAAAGGTCATTTTAATGTTGAAAACACTCTAATTGATCATCTCAGAATCGAGATGTATGACTATGGAAAAAAAAAAAAGATTTTGAGTCCTAAAAATGGTGCATCTTACAACACATTAGGTAGACTATCCTTTTTCAAGATTTTCATATGTTTATAAATCTACTTGATTTTAATTATTTTTGGAATTAAAAAAAGTTATAATTAGATTTGAAAATAGATTTTGAGATAATCTTAAAAATATTTTACATCAAAATTATATGTTATGATAAATTTTGAAAATGCGCCGTAAATGGATCGTTTGAGATTGGAACCTTATGGAAACCACACTAATTGTTTGAGTTGCTGAAACCACGCCGTACTTGAAATAGTTACGAACAAGGTTGAAAAACATAGACGGGATCAACGATTTACCCTAGTAAATCAATGAATAAAAAATTAAAAAAATTATGCACCAACAACATAAACATATTGAAAAATTAAATTGGGGCAGTTTTCAGTTATAAAAGTGGCCAGTTCCAAGGGAAATCGGCACGTCCTGATACTTTGGGAGAGTAGATTGGTCCCCGATCCAAACCAACCTATTCTAGTGTCCAAATTTTTTGAGAGTAAGATCTCGTATTAAAAAAAAAACTCAAAATCTAATATATTTTTTTTTTAAAACATATTTGATATGGTAAGAGAAAACATATTTGATATGGTAAAAGTGGGATTAAAAAAAGAGAAAAAGCAGCTCGAGAGAAATTGAGAGACATGTGGGGCCAAGAGAAAACATATTTGACGTCGTAAGTGAGATATATGAGAAATAAAATATAAAAAAAAAGAGAAAAAGTTTTATCAAAAATAAAGAGAGCAAAAAGAAGAAACGCACTTCACACAGTAACGTGGGAAAAAAAGAGGAAAGAGGGGGAGCAACATAATCGCAAAGACGTGTTTGATAGTAAAGTGCCGAGAAAGGCTCTGCAACTGCCACGTGCGGCGGCAAAAATCAGAAATGACTCATAGAAAGTTGACGTGGTCCATGGGGTGACAAAATAAAAACCAAATTGATGGGGATCCAAAACCATATATTTCCACAGGAAAGAGAGAGAAAATAATGAAGTTCTCATCTATGAAAAATGTGTGACGGTTGCTTCTTAATCTAGGTTGAGGCAGTTTAGTGGGAGAGAAGAAAGACAGAAAATTTAACTATGTTTTAGAGCGAGAAGAGTAAGAAAGAGAAATCAACCATTTTTAGAGAGAGAAAAGGAAAAAAAGAGAATTCAACCATTTTTTAGAGAGAGAAGAGGAAGAGATAATTCAACCATTTTTTAGAAAGTGAGAAGAGGAAGAAAGAGAATTCAACCATTTTTTAGAGAGAGAAGAGGAAGAGAGAAATTCAATCATTTTTTAGAGCGAGAAGAGGAAGACAAAGAATTCAACCATTTTTTAGAGAGAAAAAAAAGAAAAGAGAAATAATAGGAAGGGGATAGAGATCGATTTGTTAGAGTTTCTTAAATTTATGTATTTATTTGATAAGTCAGCTCTGGCATGGAGCCGAGCCTACCATATTCAACAAGGAGCGATGTACTGTGTTCCTGCAGGAGTATATACTGTGACTTTGTTCCCTCGATCAAAACACCTAAGATGATTTTTTATTATTATAAAAATTTGGGAACTATATAAAAATTACTGGATGATTGTTTTTTTAAAAAAATTTGAATATTGAGTTCTGTGATACTTTGATCTAGCTCTTCAAAAAGTAGATCGTTCCTATTTATTAAATCTAGAGACATAAGGTTTTTTTAGTACGTTTTTTGTTAGAGTTTGTTTTATAAGTTGTTGGTCTAAATAAGGTGAGGAATTCAAACTTGCACGCTCTCTAATTATGTTTGGGCACTTTCTCTATTTATGTTAAGGTTTAAATATAATGAATCTATGTTATTTATTTATATTAAGGCATTCGTATTCCTATAGGCGAGGTTTTAGGGCATGGACATTCGTATTCCTACAAGCAAAGTTCAAGGGTATGGTTCTTGATAGAACAGAACTGTATACATATATTAAGGTATTCCCATTCTTATAAGCGAGGCTCTATGGTATGTCCTGTCTTTTTTGGATAATCAAGGGGTATAACTCCCATTCCTACAAATGTAGCTATAAGGTACCCGCCCTTGATAGAGTATAACAAAATTGCATGCCAAGATTTTCAAAAAGATCGGATCTCGATCTAATTAATTAAAAAAAATCTCATAATCGCACACCAAGATTTGGACCTAATTAATTACGAAAAGGATCTCATAATAACGATGATATCATATAATGTAAAGATGGATAACAATCTTTTGCCTTCAAGGAGATGATGATTCGATATAATGTAGAGATTGAGAACAAACTTATGGGGTTGAACAAGATAGAGACCACTCGGGAGAGACAGAGCTCAGAGGGAGACACTCATAAAAATGAAAACTTGATTGAGATGGTTGAAGGGAGCCATTGACACACAGAGAAACATCAAAAAAAAAAAAATTAAAATAAAGAGAGAAGAGGTTAAATGAAGATTCAAAAAAAATACAGGTAGAGAGAGAAAAGAATGGAGATAGAGACGTAGAGGTAGAGAGAGAAGAGAGGAAAAGGTTGAACATTCAAAAGATACAAGTAGAGAGAGGTTAAAAAAAAAAATAGAGGTGAGGTTGAGAAAGAAAGTAGAGGTGCAAGGTAGAGAGAGAAAGCGCATTAGAGGTGTAGAGAGAGAAAGGGCATGATCACCACGTGACGAGAAAACCGGCATGCGCACGGATCCAGGATGAGAGCAAAGACGGCATGAAAGCTACAAGCCTCGCCACCACCCCTTTTTCTTAATGCACCTCTGCGGCGTCACTACTGACGCTCCCTCCGCCTCCCATAAATTATAAAGTCAATTCACTGCAACTCCTCTCTCTTCTCTCTTTCTTTCTCTCTCTCTTATAAATAGGATAGGCCTCTTATAAATAGGAGAGGCCTCCTCCATTGCTTTCTCGACCAAGAAGAGACTGACAATGGGGAAGGCGGTGGCCGGCGACAAAGCGGCGGTTTCCGGCAAGCGGAGCGGGGCGTCTGGTTCTCTTTGGAGTATATTCATGCATGCTGATTCGGTGGATGTGTTGCTTATGGTGCTGGGCTTGTTTGGCGCGATAGGTGACGGTTTTTCGACTCCGGTGATGCTTCTCATTACTAGCAAGATCATGAATAACCTGGGGAATGGTCCCTCTGCGAGTCCTTTACAATTTACTAGTAATGTCGACCAGGTTCGATTCTCAAAAGCTAAAGAATTCTGCATTATCTTTCTCTGTTCCCATTAATTTAATTTGGTTTTTTTTTTTGGAATCTCTTACTGTTTTTATTAATCACTTTCAGAATTCTGTAAATCTGCTTTACATGGCCTGTGGATTGTGGGTGGCCTCCTTTCTAGGTGAGGTTATTAGGCCTTGTTTTTTCTTTTGATTTTGATTTTGATTTTTCTTAGGCCTTGTTTTTTTATTTCTCTGAATCTCTGCATGTTGATGTGTTTTAGAGGGCTATTGCTGGACGAAGACAGGGGAGAGGCAGGCGTCGAGAATGCGAGAAAGGTATTTGAAGGCGGTCCTGAGGCAGGATGTGGGGTACTTCGACCTTCAAGTCGCGAGCACGGCGGATGTGATAACTGGTGTCTCTAGTGATAGCCTGGTTATACAGGATTGCCTGAGTGAAAAGGTTAGGTTTTTCTTCTCCATTTTTAGACCTTGACATCATAGAAGAAGGGGAGAGAGACCATAACATAAGGGAGAGAGAGAGTTACAGAGTTGACATATAGAGAAGGAGTGAATGAGACAGAGAGAACAGCTTGCGTGAGAGAGTGAGGGAGAGTTTGGTGTCTTATGCGAGAGGGGAGGAGAAAGAGTTGTAAAGGATTATAGAGAGAGAGAGTCTGCTTTATTGCTTAGCAAAAAGACAGTGAAAAGGCCGAGATAAAGGATTAGGAGAGAGAGTGATTTATTTTCTTTTGTTTATGTCAAAAAATAAAAAATAAAAAAGAGAGTCTTTGGTTTTTTAATATTTGCAGGTGCCCAATTTCATAATGAACACCATGACTTTTTTGGGGAGCTACGTAGTGGCGTTCTTGTTGCTGTGGAGGCTGGCACTGGTGGCGCTTCCTTTTGTAATGCTCCTCATAATACCTGGGCTCATGTATGGCCGCATGCTCATGGGCCTCGCCCGGAAGATGAGAGAAGAGTACACAAAGGCAGGGGTCATGGTGGAGCAGGCCATTTCATCGGTTCGCACAGTTTACTCCTTTGTGGCGGAAAGCAAGGTCATGTCCGACTTCTCGAAGTCGCTTGATGGCACGGTGAGGCTGGGACTGAAGCAGGGTTTGGCCAAGGGCCTAGCCATTGGGAGCAATGGTATTTCCTTTGCAATTTGGGCCTTTATGTCATGGTATGGCAGCAGGCTTGTTATGTATCATGCCGAAAGGGGCGGCACCGTCTTCGCTGTGGGCGCCTCTATTACCGTCGGTGGCCTGTATGTGTTTCTGCCTCTCCCTGCTTATTTGTTTTGTTAATTTGTTTTGTTTGAAGCATGGATTTAGCACTGACCTGAGCCAAGTTACTAAGCCTGAAAATATATGTTGCTAAAAACAGAAAAATGAAAATAACTAATAGAAATAAAGAGATCATTCAATTTTGTCAAAAATAGCAAAAAATAAAATAAGTAATAGAAATGAGGTCATTCACATTTCCTGCCTATAAAAGATGAGAAAGGTCTATAAAATATGGATTGTTAAAAAAATTGTATATTTCAGAAAAAAAAAAAAGGAAAAAAAAAAATGCAACATGTAATAACAAAATTTCTCAAAATTATCATCAAAAACATAAAAATATATAAAATCATATTTCTGAGTCATGTTATTAGTGATTTTTAATATAAAGTATGATTTGTTAAGGGCGAGTTGTGCAGTCGGACTCGCGGCCGAGGCTGTTTTGATTTTCTCTCCTTGCTAGTCCCACTTCCTCCCCCTCCCTCATTACTAATCTTTCTCTTCAAATTGATTTATGTTCCAAATTTCTTGATTATGTTCCTCAATTTATGCTAACGTGTAATACACTAGCACTACTCCTCTCTTGTTGCCCATAGAGCCATCCATCCTACTAGCATTACACCAGGCCCCCCTCCCCTGCCTCTATCTTTCTAATGGTAGTGGCGGTGGTTGAGAACATTACAGTCATGAGTGATGGTGAGTTGATGTTGGTGTGTCATGAGTGACACACTGTCTCCCCGACTCAGCGATGGTGGCCTGAGTCTGGACGCATGAAGTTTGTTTCCAGTGCCTTTTTGCCTACATACATGCACAATGCCTTCTTCTATCACTTTCTTTTCTCCTCCCCTGTCACTGGTTTGTATCTTGGAACTCCTGGTCAGTCTCTCATGAATTATTGTTTGGGTATCTGCTATTGCTTGCTTATTGTAGCTTGGCACCCCTTTTCTGTCTCTCATGAATCACTGTTTGGGTATGGGTATGCAGGGCGTTGGGGGCGGGGCTCTCCAATCTGAAATACTTCTCGGAGGCATCAGCAGCTGGGGAGCGAATCCGGCAGGTGATCAGAAGAGTTCCAGCCATCGACTCCGACAACATGGAAGGCCTCATTCTGGACACTGTTTCAGGCGAAGTCGAGTTCCGTGATATTGAGTTTGCCTACCCTTCCCGTCCTGAAACCGTGATCTTCCGCAATTTCTCTCTACGTGTCCCTGCAGGTCAGACAGTCGCTCTTGTCGGCAGCAGTGGCTCTGGAAAGTCCACTGCCATTGCGCTCCTTGAGCGCTTTTATGACCCACTTGGAGGCGATGTGCTCCTTGATGGTGTTAGCATCTCAAAGTTGCAAATCAAATGGCTCCGGTCCCAGATGGGCCTGGTGAGTCAAGAGCCGGCACTCTTTGCCACCTCCATCAAAGAGAATATCCTTTTTGGGAAGGAAGACGCCACTATGGACGAAGTGGTGGCTGCTGCCAAGGCTGCCAATGCACACAATTTCATTTCTCAGCTTCCGCAAGGCTACGACACACAGGTGGGTGAGCGGGGTGTGCAGATGTCAGGGGGCCAGAAGCAGCGTATTGCCATTGCACGGGCGGTGATTAAGGCCCCAAGGATCCTTCTACTAGATGAAGCCACCAGTGCACTTGACTCAGAGTCGGAGAGGATTGTGCAAGAGGCGCTTGACCTGGCGAGGGTGGGGCGGACCACCATTGTGATTGCACACCGCCTCTCAACCATCCGTAATGCGGATGCCATTGCAGTAGTGCAGCAGGGCGAGGTGGTTGAGATTGGCTCACATGACGCTCTGATACAAGATGAGAAGGGGTTCTACTCGTCTCTTGTCAAGCTTCAACAGGCTAACGACAAGGACGATGAGGCCTCCCTTGAGGGGAGCACCTGTAGGCTTTCTCGGGTGAGTAGCATGGGCAGTGGGACAAGGGGGAGGATCAGCCGGTCGAGCTCTATGAACTCTGGCAGGTCCTCAATAACTGATTATGACATCCGGGTGCCACCACAAGACCTTCCAGTGCCTTCTTTTCGGCGATTGCTAATGCTGAATCTTCCAGAATGGCGGCAAGCCCTGGTCGGCTGCTTGAGTGCAGTCATCTTTGGGGCAATTCAGCCCACCTATGCCTTCACCATGGGGAGCATGATCTCGGTGTACTTCTTGCCTGACCATGATGAGATCAAGCAGAAGGTTCGCCTCTATGCATTTATCTTTGTAGCGCTTGCCATCCTCTCCTTCGCCATCAACATATGCCAGCACTACTACTTTGCGGCCATGGGCGAGTACCTAACAAAGAGAGTGAGGGAGCGGATGCTCTCAAAGATGCTTACATTTGAGGTGGGTTGGTTTGATGAGGATGGGAATGGGACAGGGGCACTGTGCTCGAGGCTTGACAAAGATGCGAGTGTGGTGCGGTCCTTGGTGGGAGACCGCATGGCACTGCTTGTCCAAGCGACATCGGCGGTGGTCATCGCATGCACTATGGGGTTGATCATAGCATGGCGGCTGGCGGTGGTCATGATAGCTGTACAGCCATTGATCATTGTGTGCTTCTATGCACGTAGGGTGCTGCTTAAGAGCATGTCGCAAAAGGCCATTCGTGCACAGGATGAGAGCAGCAAGCTTGCAGCTGAAGCCGTTTCCAACCTGCGCACTGTGACGGCCTTTTCCTCACAGGGAAGGATTCTGCGCCTCTTCGAACAAGCACAGGAGGGGCCGAAGCGTGAGGCTGCGAGGCAGTCTTGGTTTGCAGGGCTGGGCTTGGGCACATCACAGAGCCTAATGTCCTGCACCTGGGCCCTTGACTTCTGGTATGGTGGTAAGCTCGTGGCACAGGGTCTGATCAGTGCAAAGGAGCTATTCGAGACCTTCATGATCTTGGTGAGCACAGGCAGGGTAATAGCAGATGCTGGCGCTATGACCTCTGATCTAGCTAAGGGCTCAGATGCGGTGGGCTCAGTGTTTGCGGTGCTCGACCGCTATACACTCATCGACCCAGATGACACTGACGGCTTTCACCCTAACAAACTTGAGGGTCATGTTGAGCTCAAAAATGTCTACTTCTCATACCCAGCGCGCCCCGACATCCCAATTTTCCAAAACTTCTCGCTCAAGATTGAGCCTGGCCTGTCGACAGCACTCGTAGGGCAAAGTGGGTCAGGAAAATCCACCATCATTGGGCTCATCGAGCGCTTCTATGACCCATCCAAAGGCTCTGTCTACATAGATGGGCGGGACGTCAGGACCTACCACCTTCGTTCACTTCGTATGCACATTGGGATGGTGGGGCAGGAGCCCACACTCTTTTCAGGCACCATCCACGAGAACATTGCGTATGGGAGGCCAGGTGCGACGTTAGCCGAGATCGAGGCAGCAGCACGCGCAGCCAACGCCCATGGCTTCATCACTAATCTCAACGATGGCTACAACACTATGTGCGGGGACAGGGGCATGCAACTGTCAGGGGGGCAGAAGCAGCGCATCGCGATTGCACGAGCCATCCTCAAGAACCCAGCAATACTGCTCCTGGACGAGGCGACCAGCGCACTTGACACACAGTCAGAGAAGGTCGTCCAGGAGGCACTGGACCGCGTAATGGTGGGCAGGACATGCGTGGTGGTGGCACATCGCCTGTCTACCATTCAAGCATGCAATCACATTGCAGTGCTCGACAAGGGCGCGGTGGTCGAACAGGGCACGCATGCCACCCTGTTCACCAAGGGCCCGCATGGTGCCTACTACAATCTAGTCAGCCTTCAGCGCCCCAACCCTGCCCACTAACAAACAACTCAATGTAGTACTTTCACCGGCATACTAACACACACCAACAATGAACAGAGCTCATGACCACTGTGGATAAATAAATGAGTAGGTGAGTTGAGTTGAGGCTTATGGGGAAGGTTTTTAATTTTATAATTATGCCCAGACAAGAAATTGGGGCACTGTGGGGAAAGAATTAAGTGTGCAGTAGATTCTTTCTTCTTTTTTTTCTTTGTTTTTTATAAATTTCTTGCTTCTCATGATGTATATGCACTAAATGGAAGGCAGTGGTTTCTCCCATTGTTGGAGAGCTGGAGTTTCACTCGTGTCTCATATCACTATCGATAATGAAAGGCTTCACTCTTGTCTCATATCACTATCAATAAGGAAAGGTTTCATGTTTGTTTATTGTGAAAGTGTTTTTGGGGCCCCATGAAGAACATGTTCACTGAGGTTGTGTTTGTCAACTCAAGGGTTTGGTACAAGAAGCCTAGACTTTGGTGCGGCGGCGGTTCTTAGTTTGACAACTAAGAAGCCTACAAAAATTGATCATTTCGACATCGAGATGGATGAATATGGGAAAAAAAGAGAAAAGAAGACTTCAAGTCTCAAAAATAGTGTATTTGGGAACACAATATCTAGATCGTCTATTTTGAAACACACAATATTTTCATGTGTCTATAGATTTACTTGATTTGAACAAATTTTTAGCATCCAAAATTTTATAATTAGAAATGAAAATTGAAGCATCCTAAGAATTGTTAATACCAAAAGTACGTCTTACTGTAAAATTTGTTGTTGCATCTTACTTTCACTAAGGTTGCAACCTCATACAAACCACATTTCTTTTTTTTACCTTTCAATTTTATAAAATTCACCTCATGGGGTGCATCTATAATAAACCATTAGAAATACAAACCACATTTCTTTTTTTTTCCTTTCAATTTTATAAAATTCACCTCATGGGGTGCATCTATAATAAACCATTAGAAGTGAGTGACAACAAATTAAAATAACCAAAATTCTCCTAATATTTTAAGAGTATTTTGATCATTTTATATTTTATGAATTATTTGTATAAAAAAAAATTTATAGATGCATGTGAGTGAGATGTTCTCTCTTGCTAAACAAAAGTGCCCACACCATCAATCCTACTCAATGTCGCCATTTTTGGTCCATAACAATAATGAATAAGTTTACCTTAACCGTGATGTCTCTGTTGTGATTAATTGCTGTGCATCAACAAACTTTTGCATATTCCTTATCCATTAAAACTGGGCTGGCCCATATGCACCCCTGACCCATCCATTAAAATTAAATAATGGAATTGTAACCAATTGAACATCAAAAGGTTAATGGATAGGTAAGTGCCAACAAATTGAAGAACTAATTGAACTTCTAGTACCAAATAAAAAAAGAATATCCAAACAAATAATTAATATTTTGCAACCTCAGGTCAAACATCGACTTGATGGACTCAAAACTCTAAATGTTCTTATTCCACATTAAGATCATTAATGAAACTAAAATTAGATTGGAATTAAAAAATTGCCAATTGAAATTTATTTTGTTTTAATGATAAAGATGGGAACCTTGAACTCAAAATCAAATTTCTTTTTTTTTCAAAATTGATGTAAGGATGCATGGAATCCTTTGAAGATCTTGACTGCAGTACCAAATAAGCAATTTGGTCCTGCCGGACCACAACGTGTGCTCCCAAAGTGGAGGATCAATGAACCGGGCCATATTCAACTTCTCCCTCTTCTCTATAAATAAATATAGTTTTAGAATATATGGACCTCTGGTTTTTTCTTGTCGGTTGAACTAGGTTGACTTTTAAGACTTGCCTACCTGCAAGGGTAATATTGTAATATTATTATCATCCGAGCTTTATCCCAACCCGCAAACTTACAATATATCACTTATAATTAATTATTTGAGATGCTCATTATTAAACTAAATAAATGTTTTGTATTGGAAAAATTGGAGCAGATTCAGCATTGGATGGACTATTTAAATAGTGAATAGTCCCTAGAAATCATTGTCCATATAATTTAACTGACTAATATAAAATTCAAGATAATCTGCTGACCATAAACAAGATTCTATTTCATTACAATATAAAAATGTACAAAGTAAACGGTTAGCAACCAGAACAAAGTATCTCCACTCCCTTTAAAGTTTAAACAAAGCAAACGACATTATTTTACTCTATTTACAATCAAAATTTGGCATACGTTTTTGCCAAGAGGTTTGTTTCATGGTTGGTCTCTCTGAACACCTGAACAAAATTAATATTTCCTCCTCTACATAAGCCAAGAATTTCATTAAGCACTTATGTTAACCTCCACCGAATGCATTGATCTCCTTTGCACCATTTGATTGTATTCAAAGAATCATCTTTATCTATAAACATTTCTACATGACTTATCCAATAGCTTTGACCCATGTAAAACTACTGGAACATTAGCCTCATGGCAATTTGGGGTGGCAATGGGTCGGGTGGTGGCCGGTTTGGCCCAGTCAGCCAGGCCCTAAAAAACTAGGGTTTGAGCCACAAAATGTGGCCTGAGAGCTAGGCCAGGGGCCGGGCAACTATGGCTCGTGAGTAGAGCCAAATCGAGCATGGGTTGGCCCAGGCTTGGGTTATGGCTGGCCATACCCTCTTTTTCTTTGCTTTTTTTTTTCTATATTTTTCATTTTATTTGGCCCAACCTAACCATGATAGGGCTAGGGCTAAGGCCTGGGGTTGGCCTGGGCCGTTTCTTAGGGTCTAGTGCTAGGCTAGGGTCAGGGATGGACCAGCCCAAGCCCAACCTATTGCTAACCCTAATGACAATAGCTATCCGTATTGCCCTTGAATATGTGATATTTATCTCCCCATTGTGATCTCTAAGCAAGCGACCCATCCATGCGATCTTTGGTTTGCCATTCGAAATTCCATCAAAATTTAGTTTACTGACTCTAAAGGTTTTTAAATTAGAACTTATGAATGTTTTAAAATTAGCCGGACTAAAACAGAATATATGGAATGCAAGTTTAATAATAATAAGAGCAGAAACAAGGAAGTGGTTAATATTGATGGTCAAGAAATACCTAAAAGAGATTGTTTCTAATATATAGGGTTCACAATCTAGGAGAATGGATAGATTGAGGAAGATGTCGTCTATAGAATTAGAGTTGTGTGAGTGAATTGGAGATGTGCATGTGGAGTTTTATGTGATCACGACATACCATTGAGAATGAAGGGGAAGTTGAAGAGGACCGTTGTAAGACCAATCATGCTTTATGGGATGTAACGTTGAGCAGTTAAGAAACATCATATCTATAGGTTGAGCGTACTTGAGAAAATGATGTTAAGATGGATGAGTGGCAAGGCAAGAAACAATGGAATTCAGAATAAATACATTTGAGGGAACTTAGATGCAACTTGGTTAAAAGTGAAACATTCTAAAAGAGTCAGGGGAAGGCCCCAAAGGACTGGGATAGAAATAGTGAGAAAAGATATGGTGACTTTTGGTATAACTGAGGGTATGATCCTTGATAGAGAACAATGAAAGAACAAGATTAATAAAGCCGACCTCAAATAATTGGTTTTAAAGGCTTGGATGTTGATGATGGTGATATGTACACATCTAAATTCTTTTCTTATAGATATCCACTATGTTCCCATATATATTATTCATTCTTTAATTATTTGACATTCTTCTACTCATTTCTTTCTATATTTCTACGGATACAATCACTATTGAGAGCGAGGATTCAAAAGTCGGCAAGTCGAATTGGACTCGCCCAGAAATACCGGGAATCACTCGGTTTTAGAGAAGAATCGGTGATGCCGTGCTGTAAATCGCCATATGACGTCATGAATCTCCCTCTTCTTCAATTCATGACATCATGGCCCGTTGATTCATGACATCATGGCCCGCCCGATTCTTCAACAGTGTACATTGTCATGGGCATTTTTGTAAATTTCAGGGTAAAATAAGTTAAAAATCACAAGAACCTAAGGTCTGCATACCTCGCCACGTGGCTCTCATTGCTTTGCACGCATTATAAGAAGTATTTATTCACTAACATTTCCTTTTACCTCTTCAATGTGGGATAATGTGAAAAGGTACTAACTTGAAACATTGATATATTATATTACTTTGTTTGCCTTTCTAATATTACTAAATTGCATGTGGCATACCAGCTATCACATATCTTCCTCTTGTGGAAGACGTCGGTTCGAATCCCCCCTCTCTAGAGGAAATGTTTCTTTTCCTTTTTTTTTGTCAAATTTTTTTCTTATAAAAAAAATGAAAGGTTTTTTTTATCAATTTCGCTTTTTCGTCAAAAAAAAATCTTATCAATAAAATAAAAAGTTTCTTATAAAAAAAAATGAAAGGTTCTTATCAATTATTTTTCTTGCCAAATTTCTTTTTTTTGTCAAAAAATAAAAGGGTTTTGTCAAAAAAATGAAAAGTAATAAAAAGCTATTGTAAAAAAAAAAATTCTTATAAAAAAATAATAATACAACAAGTATTTTTTGTCAAAAAAAAGGTTTTTTCTAAAAAACAAAAAAAAAATGTAATACGGCAAACATTTCTTGTAAAAAAATAAAAGGTTTTTGTCAAAAAAAACTAAAAGGTTCTTATAAAAAATCATTCTTTATTGTAGTCCATGTATGATTATATACTTCATCTTTAATTGTTAAAATAAGTTCATACAGAGAAAAAATATCTCAATATTCACATATTGATGAAAAAAATGAAAATTAATAATGTAGTACCTCGATTTCTTATTGGATTCCTAAAAAATAACATTTATAATGAATTTTAATAATTTTTTTAGATTTTTTTTTAAAGCTTAATCTGACCGATTTGGCCGATTCCCTATCCGAATCGCCGATGCACCGATCCTGATGGGTTTTTTAGGTGCCCGATCCGAACCACCGATCCATTTTTTAAACCACTGATTCAGAGTGTATAAAAACGAAAATACAAAAGCTTACACTTGACTTTGTATACAATTTTGATAATACAACTCAAAAATCTTATATGTTATAACTCAAATTGGCATTACAACCCTCAATGATAGCAACATTACTAAGATTACAGTCAACAAACAATTCTTATACACTCATAATAAAGAGGATACAACTCCATTAGGGTCTCTTGTCCAAGACAAATCGAAAGTATACATGGATATCAACAAACTATACATGTATGTATTGTATTTAAAAATGAAAAATGTTTCTATGTGACCCCAACAACATATAAGTTATATGGGACCCCCTCAGTACCTCGATCTGAATCAAACGGCTACGATTATTCATACCTCAATGTCATGCAAAATACTGTTTTATTTTTTATTTCATTTCTTAATAAATAGTTTTGGATGAAATTTTAGGCATCCCATCATAA